GGTCATCATGGAGTGCTATGTAAAAGTCCAGTCGTACAAATATAGCACAAAAAAGTAGTAGTGCCAGATAAAGAGAGAGCCCCACTTACATTTTATACCCATAAGTAAAATCTTGCATCCAAAAACAGTTAGCACCAGAAGTGTTGCAAATTCCGGAGGCTGGAGTTGGAAATATCTGAATAAACACTTTCTTCAAAGCCTTTGCATAGCTGCTTTGTGTGCACATCAGCCTGTGATCCTTTTTCTCACCCTGTGCCCTGCAGATGTACCCTTAAGAGAGCTGTTGCTATTAGGCTCTTTCATTTGTAAAAATGGAGGTTATGCAGTGAATTAGGCAAGTATTTCTGGTGGCACAAGGAAGGTCTTTGGGGGCCTAACTGAGAACTTAATTTTCTCTGAAATGGTAAGGAAGCCATCTATGCAATTGCCTAGCTTAGCTAGTGCATGTGTGCCTGTATTTGAGTGTGTGTGCTTTGCTTTCTGAGCCCAGGAGACATGAAGAGCAGTGCTTCAGAAGCACTGAGAGCTGCCATCTGAAGCTGACTGGACATGTGCTTTGGACAAGAAGTACTGTTACATGGCCACAATCAGGAAAAGTGTGTCTCACCTCTTCACTGGGCACTAGTAGATATTTTTGACAATTCTGAGCTGCAACGGTCTCTGTTTCTAATCCGTAAATTGGGACAACTCTGCCACTCCTATGAAGTCTGAGGTGTTCAATGTCTCTGGCCTCTGAGCATCCCTCAGACAGGATAGTGGTCTTGTCATACAAACCATTAGAGGAAAATGAGCAATGGTTTATTTTTGGCATTTTACAGCATGCAATAAGTAATGCTGAAAGCCACAAGCCCAGTGAGGAGGACTGAAAGAAACACCTGAAAAATGGCCAATTCATGGCATGGTGTAAAGAAGTTGGGCAAAATGTGTTATATGGTCTTCTAATAAGACGCTTACACAGTATCTGAGCACAAGTAGACTGAACTATCTTTGCACAAGCCATTTTACTTACAGTATCCCCCAGTCTTTGCAGTTGGGGGAAATCTAAATCTAAAATCCTAGACCACCTTTAGGAATGTCATTTGCTCACTCTGTACTTCGGTACTTTTAAGTCTAACACAATGAACCATATTAACTCTCGCATAGACCTTTAGATCTAGATGGCCAAAGGTCTGCCAGTTGAACTATTGGTAGAACTAGCATCCTCTTCTCGCTCTTCTCCCTTTCTGTGGGATGCGCTGACGCAGGAGTGATATATGAACACAGGACTCCTGGGTTCAGCCCCAGAGCAGGAAGTCTTCCACCTCTTGGGTTTCCACTTTGTCTTCTAGCACCTTCCTTACCCCCTCAGTCCTACTGCTAAGCCTTCAACAGGAATAAACCTTCGCTAGTTCTACTTTAGTTGAATTACTTAGCATTGCTAGGTGGCTGTATCACCTGACCATTGTTCATGTTTCTGATTACTGAAAAAAGTAGATGAAGCACAAGAGATAATGAATTAGTAATATAAATGCTGTCCCAAAGCTTCTAAAATAAACTTTCATTCTGCATTCCATTTTGCTGAAACAGGTGCTTATCCCCCACGGGAAACCCCACTGGAGACAAGAGCATGGCTGCCATGAAGCTTAGACGTGATTGCATGTCTTCTGCAATGACAACCAGTTGTCTGCTGTAGAAAGTGATTGCATGGGTTCACATCCATCCCAATAAATTCAAGAGTCCTTTCATAACCCACGGAAAAGGATGGTGGCTGAATTGTTTCAATTCAGAATACTCTAAACCCCTCATCTATGTTCATTTCTACTGAGGGAGGCCAATACAACAGGCATATGAGAATCATTTTACTGGCACTAAGAAGAAATTCGATAGCACTTTTTAATAAGCAGATAAAGAAAAAATACCACATGCTTCATTGTTTTGGGAAATCTCTTGGTGCTGCTGAAGTGGTTAAATGCCACAAGTGTTTCATAACCTGAGTTCAACAAAACATCTGCAGTCCTGATGCCACTGCATCAGCTCCTGCAGTTTGGCCAACAGTAGCAGGAAGAGAGACTAATGAAGGACTCTGGGGAAGGAGCAGTATCCAAAAGCAGATGAGGGCACCTTTTTATTTCTACTCTTCAAATCTCTGAAGCAGATCAGCTACACATTTGAAAACAGAAGAATGCCCTCATTTGATTTTGTGATACAGCCCAATCTGCATTTTCACTCTTACCTGGCCTCTTCGAGTCTCACAATTGTGAAGATAACTCAAGTGATAAATTTTCAAGTTCAAGGAGGCAAAATTCAGGTACTTCAGAAAAAGCTGAAAAGGCAAACAATGAGATTGAGTGGAATGCAGTAGCAGCCTCGTGTATACTGGATTTCATAACACACCTTTAGCAACGTCATGGTAATTCCCCTGGATAAATGCTTTGCTTTGCACTGGTGTGAGATGAGGCTTATCCCACTGTAACTTCCCTGAAGGATTTCTGAGATAAGCATCCTCACAATAAGCCTCTTCTGTTAGAGGGTGAGTCCCCTGTAGGGAAAAGTGGAGCTTCACTAAAGCAGACATCCCTAGTGTAGAAGAGTCTGTGTTAGATGGCAGAAACAACAACTGCTTGATAGAAACTGAGCTACTGACCACTTACTGTTTCATCAGAGCTGGTGAAGTATGGGCCGTTCAGCTTATTGATAGCCAAAATGACAGCAACTAAATCTTTGCCATTCAGGATGGGCGTCGCAAGGATGCTTTTCGTAGTGTAGTCGGTGAGCTCATCAACAAATGGACTGAACTGGGCACACTGTTCAATAGAGAATTTACAAATTAAGCATTTTCCACAATATCTGTAGTCTTAAAACCAAGTCAAAGCACAGCCTCTTGACGTAAGCTGCCTAAGGAAAGTTTTGCTTAAAAAATTATTAAAGAGAAATGAATTAGCAGAAAATTGGCCAAGGTACAGGTGATAAAGCTAGTATTGAGAGAACTGGCTGTGGTTTCTGACTGCAATATGTGTACTTTTTCACTTTTTGCAAAGATCTTGCAAATCATAAGCTTTAACATGTCAAACTCTGTCAGAACAAGGAGGCTCTCCACTGGTCATTCTCAGATCACTGACATCCTGGAGTATCTCCTCCATCCTTTCCTCTGACTTCTCATTAGCACTGTGAAGTGGGTACAGCCAGTTACCACACAGCACTGTGTAGCCACAGTTTATAAATTAGTGCTGTCTGGTACAGTCACTGGGAGGTTCACTCATCCTCATTTTTCTTCTGCTTTTGCCTGGACCCTGAAGCTCCTGTCGGCTTGCAGCCTTCATGAAGCCATCTATCCCTTGTTTCTCTTGAAACTGTTTCTCCCAGGCATTCCCTGCCACGTTGCTGGGCCTTTGTGCATGGGATGGTAGATGGTAGGGAAGGTATCCCAGTGGAGGATGCAGCTGGCACCAGTGGTGTGTGCTTCCTGGCACCCTCCCCCTGCCTCTGAGAGCAACCCACCCGCTTCTGCCCAAGGAGCATTTTGGCAGCGGTCGCAATGTGCAGATAGCACCACTATGGATTGGGCTGCCCAAGGAGTCGCCCATGAGGGAATCACCATTCAAACCACTGGAAGAGTGCTAGGTCAGGCTGTAGGGGAGCACAAAGGGAACTCTTCCAGTTGTTCCTTATGTGAATGTCACTGTCCCCCTCATCCCAAAAGAAAACAAAGAAGAGAAAGGGTCGTTGGGGGAAGGGAGATGGCCCATCACCTTGCCTGCACAGGGCCTTATTGACACCATCATCACCTGCCAATAGTAGGTGAGTGCAGGGATGGTCTTGCTAACCGGAGATCTTCTCCCTGCTCAGCTGAACAACTTGTCAGCTACAAGTCCCTCTAGTTGGGTTAGAAAAAGCCCCACAGCTCTGATCATATTAAGAAGGCTTGCACCAGAAAGAGTAATCACTCCCTAATGCACCTTCTCCCCATACCTCCCCCACTGCTGGCCTTCCCTGCCAATTGGGGTAGACCAAGCATTTAGCCTCTGGGTCTCCTTCAAAGGAATTGCCTTTCGGTAATGCCTGAAGGCACTAGAGTTGGAGTGCAGCACTTGGCTCATAGCACTGAAATCCTTCCATATTCTTGGAGAAATGTCTGAAGCCAGAGAGCTTTAAAAAGTTTAAATCACATTCTGATGCTTCCTCCCCATCGCCCCCCCAGATGCTTGCAAAACTAAATCAATGTCTCAGTATGTTCTGTGGAGGATAAGGAAGTTTTTCCTGAAGCATTTGGATATGCTCGTACTGAGCAACAAATGGATGGATAAACAGATGGTCTTTTTGCAACGAGCAAACAATAGACAGAGTAATCCCAAATGCCATATTTGGGTCACATGGATTTTAGTTTTATACCTATGATTAGAACAAGCGGATTGTTATTGCTGCCATTCAGGTTTACATGATTCAACCCAGGAGTATGGGCAGTAAATATTGTCATGGAGGCATAAAAATAAAACATTAAAATTCCTTGGATCCCTCCTGGTATTGCAGTGTGCAGTGTTTGCTGAAAGAGGTTTTTTTTGTCAAAGTTTGTCTCTTGCTGCTTCTGATGAAGATCACCCGTACACAGGTTGCAGTTAATCCACCTGCTCTGAGGTCCGCTCCCTCTGGTTGATAAAAATGCCTCTAAATGCCCTTGGCCCAAGCTTCATAAGACAGCAAACATTTTTAAATGTCATTTGTGGTGGAAAACCCTTTCTGGACTCACTGTAAAGGATTTCTCTCTCTTTGCCAATTGCTCATGGAATATAAATGTGTGTGGAAAATTTCACATGCATTCAGTGCAGATCTGACTGCACCTCACTCTCTCTTCTCTGCTGGACTAGATGTGATTTTTTTTTTTTAATTAGACAGGCAAGGTGTGACAGTGCACTTGTTTGCAGGCATTAACACCTAGTGTAATTAATATGCTTAGCTTCACCTCACTCCATAAATTAAATTGGAAGCAACTTACAGACTTGCTACTGGTGCTTTGGTTTCCACTGCACAGCTATTACACTGCAAGAGGTTTGACCAAGCACTGAGATGCCCTGCTGCCTCTTGACCCCTTTGTACTAGTAAGCATGTGAGCCTTTCTTCTACCGAGTGAAAGTATAAATGGCAAACCTACCTCACTGACATCCTTGATGTTCATGGTTTTCTTGGTTTGCGCAACGTAGCCCACAATGCCTATGTCCAACGGATAGACAATCTCGCAGTCTGGGGAGACCAGGCATTCCTCCAGGGTGCTTCCCTCTTGGATGTTGAAAAGCCTTGTTGCCAGTTCAGGCGTGCCATTTCTCTGCCTGTACATGAAAAGACTACAGCGGTCAGCGTGAATAAGGGACCTGATTCTTCTCAAGGTCTTGAAAACAACTTTCTCCATGTTGATGCTTTCTTGCATGTCTTGAATCAACTCAAAAAGGATTTCACTCTCATTGCTATCCCCGGACTCTGTTCTTAGTTTCTTCTCAAAGTACTGCTTGGCAAAAGCAGGGTTGCCATCAAGAAACTTCTCCACGTCGTCTTCACTAATGCTCATTGTGAATGCCCTGGGTCTTGTGGTAGGTAGTAGTCCAAAGACGTGGTCTATGCGAACAGCACTCTAATTTCTGATGTAGTTCCTAAATTTTTGTAATAGAAGATGCTGCTTCTGGAATGACCAAGGGTGAGGTAACACTGCAAAGAGAGCTTGTCATCAGGAAGAGGTATTCCTTTATAGTGCCGAAGGTGAATCTGTGGGAGGACAGATCTTCTCAACCAAACAGATTAGATGACCTCTACAAGAGCTTTGGGTCAACTTTCTTCTTCTTAATCTAAATGCAAACAAAACCTGAGTACTCACAATATCTGAAAACGCTCTCCTTTCTCTTCATAAGCAGAACGCTTACTGAAACAATTATATTAAGGCAGCAGCAACAGGGAAAACTGCATCTCCTAACATTGAAATAAGCTCTTTAAAGTCTAATTAAATATATACTGCTTGGGCCTAATCCTTGGCTAACAAGGTGAGCATCTTATTATTTCTGCTCTCCCAGCTCCCTGCGGTAGTAGGAAGTGCATCCTTCACAAAAGAGCACAGTGATCAGAACAAAAATAGTGAGGTAATGCTGCTCTTTCAGGGCTCCCTCTAATGTTGCATGGTTCTTTATCTGCTGTTGTAAGGGTTGTTCTCAAACAAAAGCACCAATCCTGAATGCTTTAGTTCAGGATTTGAACGGAATTTGCAAGGTCTGTGGCCTTTTCTTTTTGCTAGTAAGAACCAGGACAGGAAAACATGCCTCTTAGTGGCATCCCTTTAGGAAGGAATCTGGAGAGCTTCAGGTTGGGGTGGCTGGGTGGAAACATTCTGAGGAATTATGGGAAGCCCTGCAGACAAAAAAAAAAAAAAAATCAAAACACCCAGGAAGGTAGAAAAATTTCCCTCATCACTATCAGTGGAGAAAGGGTGGGAATTATGGCTGTGAGGGACAGAAGTTGTTTCACAGCAATGAAGCCACCATGCTGTACAAACAGTAGGTGAGGGTCAGCGTCATGCTGGGAGGCAAAATGCCATGGAGGCCACTACTCTTCAGGGGAATTAAACAACGCACAAGGTTTTCTTCAGTGGGGAACAGGGTTAAGTCCCATCCACTGCATTGCTGGAAGATAACCAAGGCTCACCTGCTCAAGGAGTAAAGGTCCAGGCTGCCCGTCCCTGTGAGCATTGGCACTACTGCCACGAGTGGTGCAAACCAGCCCAAACGTGAATGTGGGTGCTTGGGAGGAGGGTGACAAGAGAAGGAGCTGTGGTGGCAGTGTTAGAAATGCTTATGCAGGTGGGTCTGGAGCTCAGGAGGGGGACCAGTGGGGAGGGTCTTGGCTCCCATCAGCAGGGAGGACAGAACAGATAGCTGCTGAAACAGGAGGTGACCACCCGCATACAAAGGCATGGGAGTATAGGGGAAAGGAGTTAAGAGAGAAAACTTTTCAGAAGATCGCAGGTAAAACAGTGGAAACTGAGACAAAGCTCTACAAATTTATTATTTATAATTCCATTTTCTCCTATTCCCTCTTTCAGTTCTCTGGATCACTGGAGATGCAGTAGGAAAGTTGTTGGGTCAATTGGTTGAATGTCTCAGATGCCTTTATGGTAGCCTGGCAGAGACTTGCTCTTGTAATTCTCATAGTCAGGATATTAAAATAGAATTATTGTTCAAGAAGGCTTGACGGAGGTGATGTGTGCCAGCGGTGCATGCACTGCTCCAGCATCTATGTTCTATTGGAAGGACAAGGACCTGTTCAGCACTAGCATGGTGGGCCTCCAGAATGAGGGTGGATGAAGTCTTTTTGTGAGCAATAAGCAGGACTGTCCCAAGCACAGGACTTGGTGGCAGTGGGGAATTTTAATTGCCTGACATCTGTAGGGATGGCAATGCTTCAGGTTGCACGCTGTTCAGCAAGGTCTTGCATGTTGCACCAGTTTTCTGGGTACAAAGGGTGGCAGAAAGAGCAAGAAGAAATTTTCTTTGGTTTTGACTTGGAGGCATGGGAAAGAACTAGCTGAGAGGTGGGAGACAGTTTAGGTGAGTGAGACCATGAAATAAGTAAATGGTAAATGGTAAAAACAGGCCATTTTGTAAATTATGTGCTCTTGTTAATCTTAAGCAAGAGAAAAACAGATGGAAAGTGTGTAAGTATGGTGAAATTATGGAAGATGAGTATAAAAATACCATGAACGAGTGAAAATGGAAAGTCTGAAAGGTCAAGATCCAAAATGTGATTAAATTAGGAGGGAATACAGGGCAATGAGCATTTTCTGTTATCATACTGGGAAAAATAGGAATATCAAGGAAAGTATTGAAGAACTGGAGTGCTTAGGGGGTTGTGTGAAATAACCTACCTCTAAGCTGGTAATGGCTTTTTCTGACAATTAACTGAGGATCTTGTGAGCTTCTGAAATGCTGGGAAAAAGTAGATGTAATGATTTTTTCAGCAAAACAGGAAAAAGGAAGAACTGGAGAATTCCACAACAGACCGCTTTAAATCTAGCTTCTGAGAAAATACAGGAACAAACATGTTTCTGTAAATAACTAGAGGAGATAAGTAACAGCCAATGTGGTTTTATCAAGAGCAAACTGTGTCATACCGGCATATTTTCCTCTATGCCAGAGTAACAAGTCTGTGGACAGAAGGAAAGTAATGACTGTCACAGCTCTTGACTCATGAGGAAATGACACGCAAGATATTCTGTCTCTTAAGGTGTGGGCTTAGATGAAATAGTTAAAAGATAGTGGCAAATCTATTTGGAAGATGAAGTCATTGTTAGTAGCTTGCTATTGAAATGTAACAACTTCTTGACTACGATTCTCTACAGAGGCTGTCTTAGATGTAGAGCATCTCAGAATTTCCACTTATGGGTGGAAAAATGCATGTTAAGCCAGCGTATGAGCTGCGGTCAGGTGTCTGTAAATGTGTTTGAGCACCATCTTAAAACTAGATTGCAGACAGGTGTGTACAGGAGAAGAGGACTGGAACTCACCAAGGGTGCGTGGAAAACCCTACTTATGTGGAGAACAGTCACCTGGTGAATTCATGGGGATGAGTCACTATCTGGGCTTATCACAGGCTGAACATGTGTCAACACTACCAGGCAGAAGGAGGTGTACATCCATTAGGATGAACCTTCTGTTGTATAACAGATTATGCCAGGTTGTACTAAACAGAGCTGTCACCTGGAAGACAGTGGGAAAATGTGACCTCTGAGGAAAGACTGAGGTTTGTCATGTCTTTTTGAGTCATCAAGTCAGTCCCCAATTGTATAAAAGGCTACTGCTAAGACAAAGAGAACAGTCTACAGTCTGTTCTCCATAGTCATGTAGGACAGGAGATTTCAGATCTGCCCTGAAAGGGCTTCCACAACAGGGGGAAGAGATGGCTCTCATCTTATCTTAGATAAGTAACAGAGACACCACCCTTTTTCCCAGTGAACGTCTCTTGTCATAAGTGATGCACATGTAATGACATCAGCTTGCTGGAAGTGGTATGGGCAAACAATTTCTTACAGCTGGCGGGAAACCCATTTTTCTGTGGGTCCAGCCTCCCACAGTCCACGGCCTCTCAGGCCAGTTATATGTGAGGAAACCATTGCTTGGACACCAGGGAAAATCTTAATGTGCAGCAGTGTAAACTTGCCAGATGGGAGTAATTTTATTGATGATTAATGCATGATGAAAGCTGGAGGCATCTTTCTGCTTTCCACAGCCTCCACCCCAGTATCAACCTGGGCCCGTCCAGGGTACAGGTAAAGTACAAGCCTTGTTTCATCCCACAATGATGGGGAGGAAAAAGGACTGGGTAAAGTAAAATGAATTTAAAAACTTGCCAGGGGACTAAAGAATTTTGGACTGTGGTATCCCAAAGGAATAAAATTTCCTATCACCTGGACTTTGAAGAAGGTCTGAAGTGAAGTGTAGCTCCTCTTACAGTTTAACATACCATGAGACACATTTCCTTGTACCAGGCCAGATTTGTGGAAGGAAAGAAGTCTCCTGGGAGCTCATAGCCACTTCCCTGAGCTATTTCAATGTCCAGGAATCAGGCTGTGTATGAAACGAATATCACAGCACAGAGCTATACAGTCAGAGGATGTACTCAGGATGCCCTATGTCTGAACAGAAGGTCCTTTGGGCTTGGTAACATATGATGTTTTCCAGGCTGTATGGCTTCACTCTTTTTGTATAAGCTGACGTAAACAGGTTTGGTGGCTGTATTCAGGGTATGCAAATCGTTGTACACGCTTTTGGGTTGTGATTTGGGAGCTGAAAAATTGCAAACGGGTGAACTATTCATATTGAATCGAAGTTGGCACTCTTTTGGATCCACGCCTCCCAGATATTTGCACTTTGTTTGATATGAAACGTTCTGTTCATTTCAAGATAAATGTTTTTGTTTCGAAACATTTGTAAGAAAAACAAGCAGTGTCCAACAATGACACTCCAGGGTCAAAATATGAAAGATCCAAGCTCAGTTCCTTCCTCTGCATGCAGGATTTGAAATTTAACAAGATTTTCCCTTAACAAGGGGAAAGAATAAATGTCCTATAATACTGAAGTTTATAGCTGCAGAAGCGGAGAAACTGAGGCAATATTGATTAAGCCAAGCTAGGGCTGTATACCTGCAGTGCAGTTGAAACCACGTAGGAATGGTGGGTGGAAATCTAGATCACCTGTGGAAAGGGAGCCAGTGCCAGAGCAAACCCCTTGGAGCAGGGTGGTGGCTGACGTACCCAGAATTTAAAGCATGATGCAAAGGCTGCAGGTGTTCCCTAGGCCTTCAGGGAAACTTAGGTGGCACCATGAAAGCCATTGCTGGCATACCAATAATAACTGAGGTGAATAGAGTCTAAGCTTGCAACAGGATAATGCTGTTTGATTGGACTTAGGCAGACAATGGAGGATTTTGGAGGAGGATGAGGCTGCTATTTTAGGAAACTTGCACTAGGTTGTCACACAGCATAATAATATCTGAGCACGTGTGGTTGCACACATTGTTTTTTAAGAGCTTTAAAACTGAATTGCAGAGTTGGCGTAAGACCTCTGCCTTGTTGGGCATTGGCAGATGTCCTTTAAACAGTGTTTCAAATGGAAACCTCAAATGCTTAAGCTGCCCTGAAGGCTTGGCTAGTGGCTGGGAAAATAAGACAGAGTCTCTGGGAATA